GCAGCTTGAAGAGCATGTGTTCGTGGCCTATGTTAGGCCAGTGTCCGATCAGCCTAAGGAGGAAGAAAAGATCCATCCTGCTATTGCCAGTCTGCTGGAAGAATATAAGGATCTATATGAAACACCTTCAGGGGTAGTGCCCAAACCGATCCAGCACCGAATAGAAATAGAACCTGGCAGTAGAACGCCAAAGGGGGCAGTCTACAGGATGTCTCCCAAAGAGTTAGAGGAGCTACGCAGACAGTTAGATGAGCTCCTAGAAAAAGGATGGATCCGGCCTAGTTCATCACCGATCGGTGAACCTGTTCTGTTTGTCCCAAAGCAGGAGGGAGAGTTGCGCATGTGTATTGACTACAGGGGACTGAACGCCATCACGATTAAGAATGCAGAGCCATTACCGCGTATAGATGATTTGCTAGATCGAGTTCAGGGGTGCAGATATTTCTCGAAGATAGATCCAAAATCAGGGTACCATCAGATAAAGGTCCACCCTGACGATCAGTATAAGATGGCGTTCAGGACAAGGTATGGGCATTACGAGTTCATAGTGATGCCATTTGGACTTGCTAATGCACCCGCAACATTTCAGCGCTGTATGAACGACTTGTTTATACCTTGGCTAGATAGGTTCGTCGTAGTTTACCTAGACGATATCCTAGTGTTCAGCAAGACCCTCGAGGAACATGAGGGCCATCTATGGCAGATTCTAAGTAAGCTCAGAGAGTCTAACTTTAAGATTAACCCGAAGAAGTGCGAATGGGCCAAGACACAGGTCCTTTACCTAGGCCATGTACTAGACGGCGATGGCATTCGGCCTGAGGACAGCAAGATAGCATCCATCAGAGATTGGTCACCTCCTAAAACACTAACAGAGTTGCGTTCTTTCTTAGGATTGGCTAACTACTACAGGAAGTTCGTGAGGAACTTCTCTACGATCGCTGCTCCCCTTCGTAGACTATTGAAGAAAGAAGCTATCTGGAAGTGGGATCAGGATTGTACGTCAGCCTTCAAGAAATTGAAGAAGGCTTTGATAGAGTACCCTGTTCTCAAAGTTGTCGATCCATCATTGCCATTTGTTGTTACTACAAACGCGAGTTAGTATGGCATAGGTGTCGTTCTACAGCAAGATGACGGCAACGGGTATAGGCCTGTAGAGTTCATGTCAGCCAGGCTGCCTTCAGAGAAAGTCGCCGCATCGACGTACGAGAGGGAACTCTATGCTCTCAGGCAGGCTCTAGAGCACTGGAAACACTACCTGCTTGGGAGGCACTTCAAGGTTTATTCAGACCACGAGACTCTTAGATGGCTAAAGACACAGGYCAAGATGACGCCCAAGTTGACCAGATGGGCTGCTGAGATAGACCAGTATGACTTTGAGTTAAAACCCGTTAAAGGCAAGTACAACGTGGTAGCTGATGCG